ACAAAATAAATTCCGGAATAATCACTAGATTCTATTTAAGAGCACTCGACATTTGCAGCCCTCCATATTTGCTTATAGGATAAATATAATGAAAATTCGGTGAAGACTCTCCACTACCCTAGTTATTTCATATTCAACGCCAAAAAAGGCCTATAAAATATTTAAAAAGTGTGGCCCATCCTGACAAACCCACCCAATAAAAAGTATATTGGTCTACCCAGTAACTCTATCACAACTAGAACAGAAATGAATTTATTTAAACTCAACATAAATTTTTTCACAACTACATGTAAAACAATAAATGTCTTAATCAATACAACACAAAACAATAAGCTAAAATTGAAGCAAGAGTTTACTCTACCGCCTGCAATGATTGCCGTAAAAAATATATTGGAGAAATCTCAATGAATTTAAATAAAACATTTTATGAGCACAAAAATGAATTTCACAAAACAATACAAAATCTTCGAAATCTCATGTAACCCTTCTAGACGGTCTCCTTCTATAAGTTGTTGAATGCTGTCATAATCCTTGCCTTCAGTTCTTTGGGGTTACAAGGAGTTGGTCTCTCGCTCAACTGCGCACTACTCATAATTATTAAAGGAATTTCAGACTGGGAAACTAGGTAGCCAAATGTAAGGTGTGATGTTGTCGCAGAATTTGTCTGACAAGCATGACTGGATGCAGGGTTTTCCAGCAGCCACTCTCTTGATCCAGGGCAGCACTTGATGTAGACATGTGTGTTGTGTCTGAGGCCCCGAGGGAAGAGGAATAGAGATATAGTGTCGCCACTACTAGTGATCACTCCAAACAACTTTGTAATCACCATTAGAAACATCTAACTCGTTACCAATCCTCTACACTGTCTTCAGATTGACACCCAAACATTCTGAAATGTTTGTATTGGAGCTTCCTGCTCGGATGTCAAGCAGTACAGCATGCCGTTTTTTTCTCACAGCCTACACGAAATTAAAAAATATAAAAATAGCGACAATTTGCCCATCGCATCCGGTATGCACACACACACACACGCACACACACACACACATATATATATATATATATATATATATATATATATATATATATATTTTAAATAAAAAAACAGACCACTTTAAGGTTCTATGTAATAAATTATTTCACAGCCCTTTTAAAGGACTGCGGATCATCAGACTTTACTTCAAGTGGTCTGTTTTTTATTTAAATTATTTGCTCTGAATTTACATTGAGCTCTCTGGATATTATCCTCCTTAGGTTTACCCCATACGGATTACCTAGTTTTTCATAAACTAAAATATATATATATATATATATATATATATATATATATATATATATATAATGAAACCAAACTCACAAATAGTTACCTCGGTGACACTACTACATGTCTAACAGACGACTTACGTTACACCTACTGGACCATAGTTCCACTAAGACACATTTATACAAAAGCAAAAACCTACTAGATTCAATCCGAAACAAACTAGTAGAAAATAGAAGCATGATAATCTCATCCATATATAAAAATTTAAAAATAATACAAGCCCTAATAATAAAAAACGAAAAAGTCCACACTCCATAACATTGGTGATAAACAGAGCCACAATGAGCGCACCATATTTAGAAAATAAAAAATACCTATAACTCTAGTCACGTACATAACACAATCCATATATTACTCGACCTAATTTTGAAACAACTTTGACTACAGTAAATTTGGTCAACGCAGTACATAAGCTCATTTTATATCGCGACCCCCTTAAAACTAGTTTCAAAATTAAGTCTTCAAATAGTCGCATGATACTCAGTATATATATATATATATATATATATATATATATATATATATATATATATATATATACTTCAGATAAAAGTTTGGAACTTCCGAAAAGTGTGGTTGGTTAAGCACACCCATTAAAACAATAATCAAATCACACACACACACACACACACACACACACACATGTAGATTTAAATAGACTGGGATAAATTTGAATAGACAGATATATAGATAGATACATACATACATACATACGTACATACATATGTACATACATACATAGATATGTACATACATATGTACATACATACATACATACATACATAGACAGATAAATCGATAGATTAGAACAAACTGAGATATATCAAAATACACTGAGATAGATATTAGCAAATTTAGATACATAGATACATACGTAGAGGTAGATTAAAATAAACTGAGATAGATAGATAGATAGATAGATAGATAGATAGATAGATAGATAGATATGGGAAGAGCGTAATAGTGAATCGGTGGCTTGTTTGATTGATTTGAATTGACTTTGACAAATAGCAGACAACAGAATGACAGATAAATGAAAGGGAATTGAGTCCGGCGTAGAAACAAATAATAATAAAGAAAATGGTTGAAAAAAAACAAATGAAAGAAAGAGTCAAACAAGCATAACTCGAAAAGAAAGTAGCTTGGTATTTCAAAGCAAAAAACAAAAGATGAAGT